CGGGGCGACGATCACAGTGAAGCCTGGTTCTGAATAGTTTGGCACTTGTCACCGTCACCGTTACTTATGACAACAACAATAACAGGCAGTGTGAACAAAAATATGCTAATTAACGTAATTTTTCATTTCATAACCTGAAAGAGCTTGATCATCGAATTATCCGCCAGATTTCTCTCATAAGGATGCGTCATATTGCGATAGACCCCTTGGAGACTTGAATTGTTGTAGGTAGTATCGCTGAACTCATATACGGAATTTCCCAAGTTCTGCAGGAGTTTCGCGAAAGCCTGAAAAATTTTCATATAAACATGAAACATATTTAGCCATCATTTATTTGCCAAATTTATCAACATAACATAGTCTGCTGTTGCTTTGAATGTTACTTTTGTGTTGCTTACGGATTAATAAGCAACATGTGGCTAGAGCGTTCATTATGCTTGATTCACACGTACGCGCTACACGTGTGACGATCAGCCACGCAATCTTGCGTTCTATGCACTACAGGTGCATGCCTTGGAACTGTTGCCTGGTTCCCATGGACTAATTAGAAGAAGAGGAATGTGCACTGTCACGATATAACTTGTTGCCACGATTTTTATTTGTCTTACACTATCAACAGGTGTAAAACCATGCGTTATTTTGCTATTTTGTTCCGTAGTATTATCTTGCAGCAGTAGTAAGATAGAAATGGCTTCTTGTGCCAAGACCTTTGGAAGGCAAAAGGTGCCCAATTGGGAGAGGCTGAAAAACTAGCTAGGTAAGTTCAACATGTGGCAAGCTAACTCAACATCCTGGTAAAAGAAGTTCACTCGGAAGAGAGTTCGATTCACAAAATCTGTCAAAATCAAATTATGACCGGGTCGTTTGCCCTTTATATTTCGGCAATGAAGATCAATCTATTAGAGAAAAAGTCAGGAGCCAATAAGTTGTATTGACCGCATTTACACAGTCACTGCCTTTTGATTTATGGCATGGTAACGGAAATTAAGTTTGTATCTTGAACTATAGAGATATGTGCTTACAAATTAAGTGTACAGTGTTGAGGGTATCTACAAAGCGGTTACAAACTAACTGGGTCGCTCGTTTTTAGGATGACGGCTCCTTAACGCTGAAAATAAGTGCTTCACTATAGGGCACATTATCTGTATGCGTACATCGACCGGATCACGTGTACTCCTGGTAGAGTCCCTACCATGCATTATTTCTAGATGGACAAATTAGTACGATCATGTGAGAGGAAAGCAGGCGACAGTAGTGGCCGCTAATTGGTAAGCATTTGCTTTAAGAAAAACAATGTTATTAATCAGAGCTTACAAGGAGCAGTGGTATAGTCGGTTGTATTTTCGCGTTGGCTTTAAAGGTGTAAACTTGGAATCCAAGCACGAGGTATTATTTTCTTATTAAAGACTACTTCCATGAGCAACGACTTCTCCACTGTGCTAAAGTGGTATCAGTTGATTAACCCACGAAGACAGCATTGTATACTTATCTGGTTCTACCATGCGCTGCGCTGTGTTTCATCGGATACGCCATGCTGTATGTAAGCATTATATAAATGTGCCTATGTGTCTTGCAGTTGCAATTCATCTTGACCCACCCGATAACTGATTACCAATAATATTCTTATCCAATAATATCCCAATACCAACAGTAATCTTCTTCATGTTCATCTTCCATAGCCGCTTCTTGGGTTGCAAAGGCAGACGCGTCAGACAGTGTTTCCAATATTCCTGATCCTGTGTCATATTCTGAGCTTCGGCAGAAAACAACTGTAGTCTGGAACAAACTCCTTCAATATATTTGCACCAGTTTAATCTTAGCCATCCCCTACGCATTCTGCCGGTCGGCTGGGTTAGAAATAGCTGCATCGATTTTCTTTCAACAGACATTCGCAACAAGTGTCCAAAGCAACACAACTGTGACTTTCTAGAACGGAGAAGCAGTGGCTGCATACCAAGGCTCTCGCGGATTTCTGTACTCTGGAACATATCGAGATGTGTAAAGCCGGCGGTTCGTTTCGGAAAACCAATATTAGCCGCTTGCACCCGGGATCGAAGATTTTCGGTCATGGTCCACGATTCACGACCGTAGGAAGGCATGGGGATGAAGCCTGATTTGAATACCGACAACTTAGTTTTCAGACTCAGCTGTGCTTTAGTCATAATGTTTCAGGCTAGTTCACGCAGAACGCCACTGGTTACTTTAATCCGCTAGCCAGTCTGTTCCTCAAATTTCCCATCACTAGTAAACACCATACTAGATACTTGAACATCTCCACTGCCTCTCCGTTCATCTAAAGAGTGCAAGAGGCAGGAAAACGAGAAGAGGCTTTTTGTCATGCGATGTGTTCATGCCAAGCCGCACTCGGCTGCGAACCTTTCCAGGGCGCGCTTTACATCAGTT